AGAAGGTGAAAAAATATAGAAGAAAGGAGAGAGATCACAGCTTTCTCAAGCAAAAGTACATTCATCTAGCCATCCAACATTATACTAATTGTTGTCAGGTTTTGCTTTACGCCTTCATTTCAAAGTCAATCTGTTTCAAGGTCGAAGATGTCAGGCCCCGATATTTAGTCCCACATTGGATGTTCACAACCGAATGAAAGGCTTTCAAAAAAGATAAGCCATGGAGTCAAGTGCACATTGGCTAGTCGATTTCAGCAGAAGATCGAGCCAAACAACGTGTTACACTTAGTGAGCCTACGACTTAAACTGTGCCAAGAGACTCATGAGCCTCGGACATGACAAATGGCATCTAAGTAGTTAGTAAGCCAGAAGTGTCGAACTAAGTACTATACAAGACTAAGTGCTACATCGCATGAGCATAGTGGGAGCCACTTCTAGAACCCGCAGGAGTCATTTTTAGAGTCAGATTGCCGGGTGATGATACCGGGTCGGTCCAATGGTCATGTCGCGACAAGGACACTCATATTTAAAGGTGAGGTGATTGTGAGGCCCTATTATTTAGTCCCACATTGGACTTTCACAAGGCTTAAAAAAAGGTACAAATCATAGAGTCAAGTGCAAAATCGGCTAGTAGATTTTGACAGTGGATCGAGCCAAACAACGTGTTGCACTCAGTGAGTCCTACGGCTTACAATGTGCTAATGGGCTCACAGGCCCTAGGCGTAACAGGAGGGAAGGGAACTTGAGTTTGGGATACTCAAGGGTTGACACATACAACAGGCCGACTATTTTAAAGCTTCAATTCTCAGGCAGTATCGCACACTATGGTGCATTTTATGTTGGGGGCAAAGTTTATTAAATTCCTCATTTCATACATCTCTGAAATCGATTTTTTTTACCACCATTAGAGAACTCCAAATGAGGATACAGGAACAATTACAGTTGAGGTTGAGCAAGGTTTAACATATATTATTGGCCTTCTCCGTAAAAGCTCAGCCTTTAAGAATCAGTGATAGTTTAAGAATTGTCAACAAGCACGACCAGGCAGCACGATGCTTACATTGTTATTAGCAATCTCACGCCAAACTTACATACAGAACGCTATACAACTTTTATCTACTGCGTAATTTAGATACCGATTGAATTTTAACCATAAAGTGGCAACTTCTATCAATGATTTTTCTATACTATTCTAAATCATAAATCTTACTTTAAACTTCAAAAATATTAAATAAATGCAAAAGGATGAAATATCAGTTTATACAAACTAGATAGATGATGCAACTATATGAACGAAGAGCTAATTACCTGAGGAATTAAAACTACTCCATGCATGACTTTTGACATAAAGTACTAGACTACTTACCAACATTTAGAACATGAAGGTCGTCATAGAGGTTCCGGGAATCAGTGAAGCCCCCAAATACAAACAAGCAACTTCCCACTAGTACAGTTGTATGACCTGCACGAGGGGCCAGCATCTGTCCTGAAGTGTTCACTTGCTTCCATACTAGTGCCTCTGTTGAAAACGGCCACAGTTATACATCTACAGTTCAAAATATATGTACAATATTGTGAATTACACAACTATACAAATTAGAAAATTTAAATCAAACACTATCCCATTACCATCCATACCAGAGAGTTGTAATCTTAAGATATTCAAGGGATGTCCCACAGAAATGTGGCTAAGGCTGATATATAGCTGGCTAAGCTCGTGGCTGGTTCTGCTGTCCTTATCGAAGCAGAAAAGAAGGAAAAAAGATAAGTGTAGTTCCCAGGTTCATTCTTATTCTTTTCCCTTTTTGCATAGGTTATTGGGGGTCCCGAAGTGGAGGCAGGACTGTAATTCAAGCATATATATAGAGAGAGAGAGAGAGAGAGAGAGATTAATGGGTATCCTTGTCATAGGAGGGGATTTCCTCCTTGACGCCTCTAAAATCACATGATTGAGCGACATTGTGGATGATCCGCTCCGTTGAACTTGATCTACATATTCTAAAACCCCAACACACCAAGTTTGGGGTGAACCCGTCGTCGTTTGACCCTTCATCCACTCGTATCAATTTTAACGGTTTTGAATGAATAGAACTTTTCACATGGCTCGATGGAGGGTCAAACGACGACGGATTCACCCCAAACTTGATGTGTTGGGGTTTTAGAATATGTAAATCAAGTTCGACGGAGCGGATCATCCATAATGTTGCTCAATCATGTGATTTTAGAGGCGTCAAGGAGGAAATCCCCTCCTATGATAAGGATACCCATTAATCTCATATATATATATATATATATATATATATATATATATATAGAATAATGGGTATGCTTGGTACCAAACAAAAAAATGATGCTTAGTAGTGATGTGCCCACTTCTCAACCACTCATTTAATGGGTGGTTAATTAAGTGGGGACCATTTCTAAATGGACACCTTTAAATGTGTGGATCAGAAGCATCCACATCACTACCAAGCACCAATTTTGTATGTATAGTTGTGTATACACACACACCATTCAATTCATAAATTTAGACTGATATGACAGTTTTATACAATGTTTTGTTCCACCATCGTCCTTAGGAAACTATAGATATTTTTCTTGATTTGAAGTGGATTTACAATATGAATGGGCCTTCTCCTTTGCATTTCTCACTTTACACCATCAACTGCTAATGTAATCCACATATGGTGCTCCACCATACAACAACAGAAGCTTGGCTAAGTTAAAATAATGCCTAATGGAGTTAAAAGATCTTCAATCTCTGATTAGAGGATTCTTTGGGTCCAGGCACACATGCCCCACCTGGCCCTCCTGAGGCTCTTTATATTAGGGGTCAGTGGGCATGTTTGCAGTGGTGATGGTTCAACGGGATTTCGGGGTTCCTCCCGACACAGAAAAAAGCGCGCATGCACGCATGCATGCAAGAAGCTACAGGAATTATATTTGATATCAGTGTCTAACAATGTTCAGTTAAGTTGCAAGCTTTAAAATGTTACCAAAGACCTGTACCAAGCGATCTGCACAATGTTAGACACATACATCAAAGAACATGTTCTACCCTCATACACACCAAGGCACCACAAAAACAAGCACACACAGACATACCAAACAACAAAAACAAGAAGCAAAAGGAACTTAAGACAACAAGATCATGAATGGAAGAACTATGCAGAGAGTAGAAATCCACAGCAATTATCACTGCATAAGCTAGCTAGCTTTTCTTGGGAAAAAATAATGATAGAATATGGGTGGGGATCAGGAAACAGACGGTCAACTACCATACAAAACTTTCTAGAAGAGATCTTACGCATACAATTTCAATGAGGAAAACTAATTTACTAGTAAATAAGGGGAAAACAACTAATTATTACATGAAGATATATCTTGACATCTGAATAGAGATACCTGCATCAAGCATGTAAACATCAGATAGATAACAATCTGACTGATCTTCACCACCGAGAACGATGATTTTTCTATTCCATGAAGAGCAGGTATGACTATCACGTGGAGAAGGTGGGGTTCCAGATGTGATAGCACGCTCCCAGATAAATTTTTCTGTAAGGAAACATAAACACATAGTGAACACCAATATTCTTATCATGTTAACATACATAATTCCCAACTCAAATCTTGAAGTTCCAAATACTCACTTGGATACTGCAAAATTACTTTACTTTTTTATCTGAAGAAGACAATAATGTTTCATGTCACCGACAGTTGCTCTTCACAGGGATATTCACCCTAAAATTGTTTTGTGGCATTGGAAAAATTGCTCCTTAAGCAGATCTAGGGTGTGTCCCTTATCAAAGCCATATCCCACTACCAGTCAAAATCAATCTTCTCTTTTCAATCAATCTTCACATCTCAGTTGCTGACTTGCTCTCTTATTGCTGACTCAGAGAGAGGGATATAAACTTTTCATTGTTTCTACTTTCTAATCTCTCTTAGCTCTCTGATCAATCTGTTTACTCTTCTCTAGTCACTGATCTTACTACCTTCCAAAACCTTTAAACCCCACGCAGCAAACCACTACTGCAGTGAATTCATCATCTCCATTTCCAGAAATCTTCATACTGTCGCATTAACCACAACGTTAAGGAAAAAAATGACTTGACAACTAACTTGGTTGGCCCTAGTCATTTTCTTCCCATGCATGGAGTCCATGATATGCAAGTTCATATTGTCACTAATTTTTCCCAATCTCCTAATCTATCACTTCTAATGACTTCCAATGAAAATTAATTCCAATCCAGCATAAACTTCGATTCTAAGTTGGAGTAATGTCAGTGTCAGAAAAGATGACACAATATCGTTTATTTTTAAGTTTCACATGCATAAAGTATTCCAAAGACAATAATTTTGTTTCCAAACTTTAGAATATTCCAGATATTGGAATGCAAAAATATATCCCTCTCACCATAATTTTTGAGGTTTGGCACAACCACTTTCAGTCAAGTTCTTTCCAGTTGACCCCTGAATTAGAAGCGTAAGTTCTAAAGAAAATGATATAAAAGTGTTACTTTTCTAAAAAAGAGATGCTCAACTAGTGGGATAAATAGGAATGTAAAAATATGCTTTCAGACATCATCATAGATGATGAGGTATTTAACCAGACCAGAAATGCACTACTGCACTAGAGGTGAAAACTCACGTCGCCTATTTGTTTTCTTAGTGTGTGTGAGTTGTGATGGAAGCAGAGGCCGTGAGTGGGTGTGTATGGGAATAGGGGAATGAAAATTCAAACTTGAGACATTTTATGGATTAATCAGGAACAATTCTTGCCTCTGTTTATAAACTCCATACTATTATGGGCCCTGGCTTAGTTACAAAAGTATCTTCAAGTTTCACATAAATTACACATAAGCACCATATGCTAAGTTTCATTTATTTAGACAAAGGATTTAGTTTAAAAAATTGTAGCAAAAAATTGGAAGAAAAAGTAAAACTCACAAATACGGTCAAGGACAAGAAATTGGTGGCGGTATCAGTGGTGATAGTGGAGTTAGAAGATTTGTAGTCATGTTGGACAGGTTATATCTTTAGATGTTACAGAGAAAAAGTTGGAATAGAGAAGTCACAAGGTAAATCGTAAATGTGAAGATAGTAGGCACTGGGAGAGGAATAGAAGCGACTGGGAAGTTAGTTAGTGAGTCAGTAAAGAATTGTGTTCATTTTTCCAGTTGAAGATTAGAGGAGAAAAGATGAATTTGAAGGAATAAGGAGAGGATACATGGGTATTTTGAAAGAAATTCGTGCTAAATCTACATGCAAAATACGCAGCGGAAATATATATGTACAGAAATACTAAACATGTAGAGAGCATGAAATTCACACCAAGACCATCCTAATTAAATCTAATATGATCACTATAAAAAGAAAGCGTCCAAGAGTTTCAAAAGCTTACTTTCGAAGCGTGATTCGAGGGTAGATTGAACAACCCCTAGCTCGTTCTCCCTGTTGTAGTAAACCTCCTTGTAGTGGATCTCCAAAACTTTAAGAAAACACGAAAAGAACTTGGAGGCTTCTTGAGGCACAAGGCAAGATATCCACCCCGGGGTTCTTAAATCCTACTACTTCCTCTTACTTAAGATTGCTAGAGTTTAGTAAGAGGTAAAGCTCTCTTAGTCTCTTATGGAAAACAACTTAGCCATTTTTTTATTAACCCTTTAAGAATAAAGAGAGTTCATATATATAGAGAGAGATATATGTCATGACATCAATGACTCATCTTATGAGTCATGCCATGAGTCACCAATAATAATGATTCATTTAATGAGTCATGCAATGACTCAACTCAAGAGTCATGTCATCAATTATCAAATGTCAAAACTATGTGCTCAAAACCATGTTCCCAAACCATACCACTTAATGACTCATCCCATGACTCATTAATCATAGTATTATTACGGTATTTGATTTTCATAAAAATACGGTATTCAGTATTTTTTCAATCTTTAACCAAGAAGTCATCATATAACCAAAATGTCAACCAGTTGACTAAAAATCAACTGTTGACAAAAAAGTCAAGCAATTGACTAAAGGTCAACTTTATGGAAAAATTTTCGGAATTGATTTCTTAAGCACACATCCTGATTTTACTGATACATATAACCGTTTATGTATCTGATAAAAATCATATATGAGCATCAATCATACGTATTTCTCTATAAACCGTAATTTCATAGGATTCAAGTACTCACTTGATGTGACTCTAGGGCCCAACTTAAAACTCGAGTGGATCATATCCACAAGTACAACAGAGGTGCTAGCTACACATGAAGACTACCCGAGTATAAGTTGTGATAAAGGTCTGCAAGATGCTTACCCAATTTTATCAGGACCACTCAGTGATAAATACCTAAGGTTTTAAATGTCGGTTATCGGGGATTTATCGGACGGTCAAAATTCTTATCGGATAGCGGAAATCGGGGATATATCGGGGATAAGTAGTATTTATCGGAGTAATATACTAGCAAATAATAAACAAACATAAGCTTGAAAAATAATATAATGTTAGTCAAAATGGAATAATAAACTAGCAAATAATAAGATAACATCAAGAATGAAGAACCATCTACGCATCTACATAATTATTGTTTAATCATGAGATTCATAAACTAACTTACTAAGTTGATATTTAGTAGTTATGAGCCATTATCAATATCCATAAACAAACATAAGCTAATCACCAATCAACCAAGTTCCAAAAGCAACAAATAGTTCATAATTTGTAAACATTCAAAGAGAAACCCAAAAGAAAGTAAAAGCTCCCAAATCCTACTTATCGGCCGATAAAGCTGATATTTAGAACCTACTTATCGGCCGATAAGTACCTTTATCGCCGATAAACCTCAAAAAACGATAACCGATTAAAAATCCTACTTATCCTAGCGGAAAGCTCCCAAATCCGATAACTCGGCGATAATATCGGATTATCGGCCGATATTTAAAACCTTGTAAATACCATATAGTACGGTCTATTCGTCAAATCATGTCAAACTATCGAGCTAATACCGTATTTTTATGAGATACCATATTATACTATGATTAATAAATCATGGGATGAGTCATTAAGTGGTATGGCTTGGGAACATAATTTTAAGTATATAGTTTTGACATTTGATGATTGATGGCATGACTCATGAGATGAGTCATTGCATGACTCATTAGATAAATCATTATTATTGATGACTAATGGCATGACTCATAAGATGAGTCAGTGATGTCATGACATATCTCTCTCTATATATATATGAACTCTCTTCATTCTTAAAGGGTTAATGAAAAAATAACTAAGTTGTTTTCCATAAGAGAATAAGAGAGCTCTACCTCTAACTAAACTCTAGCAATCTTGAGTAAGAGGAAGTAGTAGGATTTAAGAACCCCGGGTAGATATCTTGCCTTGTGTGTCAAGAAGCGTCTAGTTCTTTTCGTGTTTTCTTAAAGTTTTGGAGATTCACTATAAGGAGGTTTACTATAACAAGGAGAACGAGCTGGGGGTTGTTCGATTTACCATCAAATCACCCTTCGAAAGTAAGCTTTTGAAACTCTTGGATGCTCTCTTTTTATAGGGATCATGTTAGATTTAATTAGGAAGGTCCTTGTGTGAATTTCATGCTCTCTACATGTTTAGTATTTTTGTACATACATACTTTCGCTGCGTATTTTGCATGTAGATTTAGCACAAATTTCCTTAATAGTATCAGAGCCATAGTTCCATCTAATTGAATCTTTACATACATATCTAACTCATAGGGGTCTTTATTCTTGCTTCTAATTACTAGTTTAATTCAAAGATAAAACTAGCTTATTAATTCAAGTTGTTTTGTAATTAGTTACACAAGTTGATTCAAAAATGTGATTTTTGGTTCATTAGCTTTAGTAATAACACTTGTATAAATTGCATAACACTTGATCATAACTAGTGTAGTTGTATGTTAGAAGCATGATAGTCCTATTTGAGTTTGGCTAATCTCTATGTTATCTAGTTTTTCAATTTATTGTATAAGTAGATGCATGCATATTTCTTAATGTTGATTAAGTTATATGCTTTATCATCTTGCGTGGATGTTATGTTTATGAATGGTAATGAACAATTCTCTTACATTTTTTTGTATTGATATAGTAAAGCTAGAAATGTAATATTTTTTACGACATCTTCCCTCCCTAAGCATGGGCTACACCTACGGGTTTTAGGCCATTGCTCACCGATCATGGGCTACGCCTACGGGTATAGGTTCTTATTCGGGTGTGGGGGTATAGTTGTTTAGTTAAGTTATTTTATTTATAGCTTTTTGTTTTATATTCAATGCAATATTATTACCCATCCTTCGAGATAGTTTTTTCATTATAAATGGGCCTCACACGTCCTATGTTTATGTGATTGTAATAATAAATATTTTGCAAAGGAGATAGCACTACAAGGAGTTGCAAATGACTTGTCAAAATGTAATTAGTGTAGTTGCATTTAATTTTTTAGTTGTCCACTACTATTTCATATTGCTTTTACATATGTTGATATGTTGGTTGTGCCCCAATTATATATATCACTAGAG